TGATTGGGGCCCGTGCGGAGGAGGTGGAGGGGGGGCCCCCGGGGCTGGTGGGAGCCCAGGTGGAGGAGGAGGAGGTGGAGGAGGGCCCCCTGGGGCTGGTGGGGCCCCTGGAGGAGGGGGAGGGGAGAGCCCTTCAGTTGTTTGACTTACAGAAGAAGAGGGATATCCTGGAGCTGTTGAGGAGGGAGGAGGAGGAACGAAGAAGCCCTCCGGGGTTGCTAGGCCTGCGGGAAGCGGCTGGGGCTGCCCCGCAGATGTTTGTGCGCCGGGAGGTGGGAAGGTGAATGCCTGGCCGCCGGGGGGGGCGGTGCTATAAGGAGGAAATGAAGGAGGGGCCCCTGAAGTTGTTGCAAAAGGATGTGTTGCTGTCCCTGACGGATACCCCATCTGCTGTGGGGGACCCTGATAAATAGACTGAGGAGGCCCTGGGGGCCCCTGCCCCTGAGGAAAGCCCTGAGGGAGGGGTTGGGGGGCCCCTCCTGCTGCTACGCCTTGTGTGTATGGAGAACGCAGCTGCTCCTTTATCTTTGTTAGCTTTGCCGTAGCTACGAGGGCCCCAGTAATAAAACCCACGAGGAGGCTTGTAAAAACACCTAGCAAAAAGATATATCTTCTATTTTTCTCAGCTTTCTTTGCATCCTTTGTTGAGTAGACTAGCATATTTCCCCAAGGTGTTTGTATAGGATCCATTCTACCACTGTACGAGTAGCCTGCACGGTTTAATGGGTTCCCATCTCCTTGGTTTCCCCTGACTAAAGGAATCACAATGTTTTCCCCATCAAACAGACCCGTTTCCATGGTTGTTTGAGCTGCTGCTGATTCATTTTGAGCAGTTGCAGCAGCAGCAGCAGCTGCAGCTGCAGCAGCCTGTTGCGCATCCATTGATACCAGCACCCCCACACTATAGCGGTGGCCGGCGAGGTAGGAGGGGGGAAACAAACAGAGGAAAATGTTCCTCAACTAAAAAACCAAATAATATCGAGCACGAAACCCACACGAAAAAACAAAAAGAAGAAGTACCGACACAACAACTGCTGCAACTGCAACAGTAGCCGCAGGCTGGGGCGGCTGCAGCAGGGTGCTAACAGACCCACGATGCTGCAGATACTTCTTGGAACATTTCAACCAAATATTTTTTATTTAATTAGAATAATAAAAATGATATGAATTAAAACAATATAATGCGCTAAATGCTCTTCTCCAGCACCAACAACACCAGCACTAGTGTCGCAGTAGCTGTCGCCTGCTGCACGTGGGTAAGGAGGTTCCCCCGGGAATTTCCCGTAGTTTTCTGAAATTAGTACTAATTTTGTTCATCAAGTGAAATTGAAAATTTAATTATCGTTAATTTGCCTTTATTTGACCGCCGATATTGCCGCCCTAGCAGGGCGTGCAGGATGCGTAAGCGTAGAGGAAGAAGACCCTCGTGCACTGCAAACAAGTAAATAAGAGAAAAAAAACAAAAATGAGAACAAAGTAGCCGATAAACTCCCCACCAGTCTGCATGCACCCTCGGAACAAACGCCGAAAGCCAGCCTGGACGCCTCTCTTGGGGCTCATACAAACCAAAATGGTGTACTGCACGTACAGCTTGCGGGGATTGAAGTTGCAGCTGACTGCTGTTGCTGATGCTCTTTTGGATGCTGAATCAAAGCTGCTGCTGCAGCAAGAGGGGAAGCATTATCCAGATCTGCAAGCAGTTGCAGTAGAAATTGTGCATTTGCAGCAGCTGCTGCAGTTGCCGTTGCTGCTGCTGCTGCTGCTGTTGCAGCACCCCTGGGAATCTAGGGGAGCTGCAACTTGAACCTCTGCTGCGAGGTAACACCACTAGCAACTATACCAAAGCCCTTTCTTAATGCATGCAATAACGGTATAGGCAATCGTTCAGCACTTCCTTGGCCCTCAAGGGTGGTACGCAATGCACGTGTGAAGAAATGTATATAACAAATAGGCATATCTTGCCACATTTGCCTCCCATTCTCTCCCAAGCAGCAAATGCCCTCATCTGCCTAATTGCGCAGAAAGAGGTGGGTCAACAGAGGGGGGGCCCTTACAGTGCTCGCTCCTCTGGGATGAAGTAGCTCCTCAACCGTTGCTCTGTTTGGAGCTGTCCCCATGGTTGCCGAGTGTGAGGCCCTTGAAAAAGTTTTTGCAAGAACTTTGCGAACCCCCCGTTCATATTCTCAACCTTGGCCACCAATTCGAAGCTCTTGAAAAACTTCTTGCGTATAACATTAAAGATCTTGTTCTGCTGCACGTCTTCCTTGAGGGGCGACTTCTCTAGATCAAGAGCGCCTTTTACTAAGTAGAGCCTCTCTGGAGTAATGCATTCTCATTAGTCTATGATGAAGGCGAGGCATTTGTACAGCGTGATGTTGTCTTCTTCTCCTTGCGGGCCTCGGCGGGGTCGAAGACAGATCGTTTGGTCACCAAGGGGAAGCTTTTAAACGCAAGTTACTCGTCAACATGGAAGTGATTGCCGGTCAGATGATATTCTAAGTCATCCGAGATGGCCTTGTAGAGGGGACTCATCCGTCTCCAATGATCCCCTCAGGATTTCCGTTCAAAGAAGCTTCGTTGGCTTGTTCTTGCTCAACCACTCCCACTTGTATGCGGCCTCCTCGACCTTCTTAATCTTCTTTGTCTTTTCATTCTCCTTGTTCGGCATTTCGCTTTCTCTTTTCGTCACATTGCTCTCGTGGGTCTCTCGGAGTGCTTCGTGTGTTGCATGTGGGGCTGTGCACACATGGAAGAGTTTGTCTTGAACATATTCTGAAAGTTTGTATGAGGCCCAGATTTCAGCTGGGCTGCGCACGCTCGTACTGTTAGGCGCCACAGCTGACTCGAGAAGGGTACGTCAATGACGTTGGTTACGGGGAATTAAGGGTTCGTACGAATCCTGGAGTGCGATTAACAGGGAAGGTTTCAGGTCTCTGATGTGGCTTCTAGAAGTTCTGTATTTCTCTTGGGTAGACCTGTTATAGAAGTTACGAAGATGGCAGAGGCCGACGTCCTTCGGAATGTCTGTGTGTGTGTACTGGGGTAGCGGCCACCCGCTAGTGGCATCTGTCTTCGCCAGCGATGTTTTGAATACCGCTGCAGAGACTCAAAACTCTAAGAAGATCATATTGTTCTTCTGTTCAGGCGAACGTTTCTGTACTTTTACGAAATACTGCTTCCCGCGTAGCAGTTGTAAGGTGCGATGCGGGTTCTTCAGGCTCTCCTGTACATTCCAGCATACAACAAAAAACTGTCCGGCTTCCATTGATGGGGCTTATGAAGTCTTGATTGGCTTGTTGCTGCAGTTAGGTAGATGCATTTTTATGGTTAACCGGCCTGCATGCGTGCTTTTGTTTGGGAGAGCGGATGTGGAAGGCAGGTTTGTGCCTGTGTCTGGATAGACTGAACTAAGCAGAATTCCCTCATCGATAGAGGAAGTAGTTGTTCTACAACCCATAGTGTCTAAAGAGTTTGTTTTACAGCGAGTCCGTTATGCTGCTTGAAGGCGACGCGCATGCGCTACCTCCCGCCCTCCTGCTTCGCAAGCACAGAATTGTGTTTGAATGGACTAGCTGACGGTTGAGCTTTGCCTTTTCCTAGCAAACTTTTCCTGTGTGTCCCCCCATTTCAAGATGCAGAGGTCGCCTGCACCTCAGCGTTGTTTCTGCGAATGAATTCCAAGCTATACGCCCAGCGGATGGCCGCCCGGCAGGAAGTTCCTCGCTATTAATCTTCTATTAGTTGTGCCAAACTCTGCTGCGCGTCTGTTGTTAACTGGAGCGTGCGGCTTTAATCACATTATCGTGACGCACTTCTCCGTTTTCCTCGGGGCTCCTCTTCACTGTGTTAAAGTTTCATCGCTCCTTTCTTCTTTGGGGTACTGATCCCACTCCTCTTCCTATAAAGGAGGCGCATGCTATTGGGAGAGCAGGGATTTGCATTCGCTCAATGATTGCAGGCAGATAGACCTCAATAACGTCTGCTGGAAACAGCATGCATGCGTTTCGCTGAGCCACCTCTTGCATGCCTACTATAATCACGTGATGGGCTAGTCCAGAGCAAAGGCCCCGTATCATGGTAATACGGATCATTTCCGAATTGAGATAGCATTTTGCGCAAAAGCATTTGCAAATCCTCTTCTATTGTCTCTCCTTAGTGATATATTGTTGCAGGCACTGCTCCGAGGAGTAGGCAGGTACAATGCACCTCTTCTCCGTGGCCTCGCATTATATATATATATATATATATATATATATATATACACTCCACATCTATATATCAAGTAGCTAGCAACTCCTGACCACTATTACAAACTTGAAGACAGCATAGATGTGGCTCCCAAATATTTGCAAATGCGCGGTTACCTCCTTTGTGTTACTACTGTGCCGCTCGTTGCAGGGGCCAGCGCGCCCCCCTTAAAGCTCTCTGATTTCCTTGGCAGCGCAAGACTCTCTCCAGTCTAGTGTACCCAAGCTCAAGCCCCGCCTTGATGCTTGCATTCAATTTGTAGACAGTTGCTTAGCATTTACCTTCCCATCCGTAAGACAAGTAGATGTACATCATCAGTTTCAGGTAGGCCATGTTATATCTGCTCCCTACCCCTCCCCCGAATGCAGCGCACACCCTCTTATGCCTAGTAGTAGCTCACCAAAGAAACGAAGAGAAGGTTAGTGCAGCACCTGCTGCTGCAGCGAGTGTTGTTTCTGTGGCTGGAAGGATCTACCTTGCTTCACCACCTGGTGCTGCTTCTGTAGTTGCTGCACAGATGCAGGAGAGGGAGTTGCAGCAGCAAGCAGCTTCTGCAACTCCTTCTGCTGCATCTCGTGCTGTTGAATGAATGGAACATGCAGCAAACCAGCGGCCTTCTTTTCTAGACTTCTGCAGCAGCAGCTGTTATAACTGGGGCTCCAGTAGCTCATGCTGCAGTCCCTGCTGCTGCTAATATCTAAACAAGAAGCCCGCTGGCACGAACACCCCAGTGGTGTATGTACAGCCCAGTGACAAGGCTGAAGTGAGGGAGTAGTTTATTTGAATTCGTATATGTGTTTATGAATTTGTTTCGCCTACTCCCCGATTTTTTCCTGGTTATTTGTTGCTGTGTTTCTGTGTGTGTGGGGCCCTCTACCAATATATATATACATATATATATATAAAGCATTCGGTGATGTTGTGCGTTGTTCCCTTAGTTGTTTATATTTGCATGCACTATATAAATAAAACAGGGGTTTTATCTTATCATTTTTTTCTTCTTTTGCATCTGTGTCATTATTTTTATGTTTTTTCT